TACATACATACATACATACATACATACATACCTACATACGTACCTACGTACCTACCTACCTGCCTGCCTGCCTACATACCTACATACATACCAAACATCATCCCTGAATGTTTGGTATCTCCTGTGACTTGTTAGATGTGAAAAAATGGTAGGCTAGGTGCTGTTTAAGGTGTTGGTCCTTCCACTTCATTTCTACTTTGAATTACCATGGATTTGCTCTTTAAATCCTCCTTCAAGACTCTAATGAGCCCCTTCGCGAATTCAATATTATTTTTAACATTGAATCCCTTCCAGGACGATTTATGAACAGGGAAACAATAATATTTTTGGCAGCATGTTTTTTGAGTTAACTTCCTCCTTTTGATGGGGATTTTTTAATATAATAGAAATAATGTGTTAAGTCCTTTCATATTAAATATGGAAGAATGTGTATTCGAAATAACTGCACCACCTGATCTGATTTGAATTAAGCTTTCTCTGTAATAAGCTCCTTTTAAAAGTCTTGAACAGAAAATACATACATAAATGCTTTTATGGGAACCATTTTGGGCTAATGTACATGAATACTCATCAGCCTGACATTTAACATGAAAATGACATGTATATGACAAAATGCAGTACACAGACTGAAATGTTATGTTTGCCCCTCAAGTGGTAGCTACCAAGCTTCAAAGTCCAAACTAAGATACCAGTTAGAAATAAAATAATTTGGAAATTTCCTGAGGTTTAGAAAGAATTGTGAATGAGCAGTTAATTAATCAGTGACAGTTGTAGGAATGGTGAACTAACTAAGGCCCTATTTATATGGTGTCAGGTACCTGAGACAAACCTCCCCAGAGGCAACTGTGTTGAGCACTTTTATGAGAAAAAGTTGTCTCTCCCTGCTGGCCGAGAAGTCGACCCTGCATGATTATTTATAGCCCCTATTCGATATTCAAATGTGTCATATTTTTTTTTGTGTGTGTTTCCTTTAGCCATTTGATCACCTTGGGTTCCGTTGAACTAATTTTTACACACGTAATTTAAATTTTTGCTTTAAAACATAAAATTTATGTATATTATACGACATTCGGCATGCCGTGAGTTGGCCCGGTTAGGCGAACCAAAGTGTTTATATGAGAAAAAGTTTTCTTACTTGTTGAGGTGAGACAACTTGTCCACCTGAGTTGTCTTGCCTTCTGAGACAACTCAGGGACGTTCACAGTGAAAAGTTAACTCGCCCAGGGGAACTTGGGGGGAGGGTTGTGTCAGGTACCTGAGACTATATAAATGGGGCCTATTAGTCCTTGACAGTAATTTAAATGCATGAATTCAATTTATATGCAAAATGATATTAAAGTTTATGATTGTTACCTGCACTGTTTGCAAAAACAACTTTTAGCAGTTAAGAAAGTCTTTATAAGAGTTTTCTTTTTTGGTGGAAAGTAAATTTACAAAATGTTTCGTTTGGGTTTGTATTTTAACTAAAAAATGCTAGATGCTGTTATAAGTTTGAAAAAAACAGTCACCAGCTAACCTGTAACTTTATAATTTTGTCTTAAATTATAAGAAGCTAAATATTTGAATCCACTCTACAGGACAAAGGTAAGATTGTACTGCAGGTAGTGGAAGAACCACAACAAGCTGAACGAAACAATGATAGTGAAGGAGACTCTGAGTATGAAGATGCTGAAGATGGTATACTCCCGGCAAATGACAGCTCTCCAGCTCAGGCATCTACAGATTTTGAGTGTCGTATATGTGGAGGATCAGTGGCAACAAAGTTCTGCAAAGAATGTAAGGATACATTTTGTCCTCCATGCGACGGCTTGTATCATAAGCATGCATCTCGACAACATCACATTAGAACTGAGTTGATGACATCTCCTGTAAGCCCACCTAGACAGCAACCAGTAGTAAGTGCTGTTGCTTCTCCCACCACTGCTGCTCCTGCCACAGTAACATCTCAACAGAGTCATGGAGCTGCTGCTGCTTCTGCCGCAGCAAGTGCTGGCAATGAAACAAGGTATGTCTGGAATTAGTACTGTTCATGGTAAGCAATAGCAAAGGTTGTCTTTGTTTTGTAAGTTTTGCATGTAATGTATAAATAGTTTGAGTGCATTGCTGACAAACACAACAGATCTTTTTAAGGACACGAGAGAAGTGTATGAAGCCAAACTTAGTGGTTTTCACACACTTAAATTGACTGTTCTAAGCAGTTCCAATACACAACTCAATGATACATGGGAAGCAAGTTTCAAATAGTTTAAGGTAAGAAAGCATGACACTCTGGTAGCGTTGTGAAAATGGGACTTACTCTAGGGACAAATTTCCTTTATTCTTCACATAGGGGGACTTTTTCCTAGGACTAATCACAGTTTGAGGGGACAGCCCCTTGGAATTGCCTTTTCAATTCAAAATGAAATTGAACTTCTGTAAGCTTAACTTTCAGTTGTACGACTCCAGAAAATCTCTATACGAAGGAGGGTTTTGGAAATTTCCAGGAGGAGGGAGGGACTCAAATGTCTCCTGAAATGTTTGAAGGGGTAGTGCAAACCAAAAAACCCCCTGAGGGAGGTTTATACATGCATTCTGGAACAACACATATATTATTTATTAACTTTCCTTGTGGTCATTATTGTAGCATCAAAACCAGCCAGATGTCATTAATTTTGAGAGTTTACTTTCATGTTTTCTCAGACAAAGACAGAGACCTGTGCCTGCACCAAGACGAAACATTAAGCAAACCCCGGCATCCAATCAAGGTTTAGCTCAAGGGGCTAGAACACCTGAGCCTAAAAGGGAAGATCATCCACCCCCAATCCCTCCAAAACCATCACATGAATTACCTCAGAGACAGCAAACCAGACCAACTAGCCCACCCGTCCAGCATTCAACATCTCCCAGGTTGCCTGCCATGTCACCAGTACCTGCAGCATCCACTGCAGCCTCCATGGTTCAAAATCAAAGAGCTGCCTTACAACCTGCTGCAACAAGTAAGCTTTTTTTCCCTGCAGTGATATAATATACTTAGCTAGAGTAGTATGATTACATGCCAAAAGGAGCAACCCCAAATTAGTTTGAATTATTTATTTATTTATTTATTATATATATGATTATTTCTTCTCCTTCCCCTCTTTTTGCTTTCAATGTCTTGTAGTGATGGGCATCACCCTTTGCAGGACCCCTCCCCGATATGTAGATGTGGGTTTCAAGTATTTGAAAATAACAGTGGGTAATGCTGATGGCAAGTATACAAATTCTTGTCAGTTATGGTCTAATCCTCTATAAACAAAACTAGATACGACTATAATTTTATGTGCCCAAGATCGGCGGGATGTGCTTGTGTTCATTTTTGACACAGTTATAATAATAAAGTGGGTTGGTCCATGAACTGCACAGCTTTATTGATCTACCCAAAAGTAACAAGCTCCCAAAGTAATGACCTCTTGAAAGTAGAAATAGGAAAGGCAGCTACCAGTAAATCTAAAGGTAATGATTATAGATTAGATTACAGATTATAAAGGTAATTCATGATTATAGTGGTCAAGCGCTCAGCTTAACTAACTCACTCAGCTAACTAACTTTTCAGGCATACCACTCAAACAGAAGAACCGAATTTCATTTCGAATAAACAGAATAATGGTTAAGAATCCAAATTGACAGTTGGTTGTTTGAAATCAAGTGTGGCTTAGTACTTGATCTTGGAGATACAAGGTGTAACCCAACAGACATAAGTTAAGTAATTATATAGCTAGCTCCTTGAGCAGGCAAGATGAACCAGATCCTACCCAAGCGGGCAAGATGGTGCTATCTTGTCCGCTCAAGATTACACGCTGTGTCCTTCAAGAAAATTTTCCCTAAGCCAAGACAGGCTCATCAAAGTCCATATAATAAACCCTAGATGGCTGGATATTGACCAAGTTCGTTTTTGGATGTTTATGGACCTCAACTCAGTCCATGAACATATAAACAATAGTCTCCATTTGGTGGAAAAAATGCTCGGCTTTTGCGGACATTATCTGTTCCGAGAAGCGAACAGTTTTCTGAGAGCATACCTTGAGGAAAACTGTGAGCTTTGAGGAACAGACAATGTCCAAGGACAAAATAATATGCGAACAAAATAATATGCCAAATGGAGGCTCCTTCAAATATTTTTCGCAACATGTGCAGTTTTGAAAATTGGGGTATATCCTCGGATATTCCCCAGTTTTAGCTGGGAAATGTTCAGTCATGTGACATGTTTAGACCGATCGCCCACGAGCCAAAATATTTGATGGATTATAAGCAAAAATAGAACATGGTCAATATCCAGCCATCTTGATCTCGCACTTGGTGAATAACCCATATTTCTTGTCATGCGTGTAAATGAAGGAGAATACTGGTAATGTATGTTCTTACCTGACAACCTTGACTCACCAGCAGCAACAAGTCAAAGTCAGAGCCAACGAAGAGAAATTCTAAGGCCTCCACCCTTTCCTCATTTTAACACTGCAACTCAACAGAGTTCTCTTGAGGCAAAAGATGAAAACGATGGTAATGTTGCAGTTCAAGATGGTAGGTACTATGATCAGAAAAAGTTACTTTACTGCAAGGGTTTCATTAATGTTTTCAACAGGAGAGCAACTGGTTCTCACAGGTGGGCAAAACTTTTTGAATGGAACTTAATTCTAGGCAAGAAAAACTTTCCTCTACATGGTCAAACCAGACAGGCAAAGTCATCCTCACAGCCAGTCATTTTGTCTGGTACCTGGCCCTTAATGAAGCCCCTGACTTAACCAAGATCCTTTTATTAATGATAATGATGATGACGATGCTGCTGCTGTTGTAGCTGGATCAATTCATGAACACTTGGTTGATACTTCCAAATGCAGCAGAAATGGATAACAAATAATTGATGGGATAATAATTATTGCAACAGTTGCACCCCCGTGCCAGTCAATTGCAGATTACCTCAAACTATTTGTCAGGTTACAGGGCTGTCGTTAAGGGCCTGTAACACCTGTTATGGCTGAGTATGCTTGATTTTCCCTTGATGCTAAGGGCGAAATTGCCTGTTGTTGATAGAGTTCAACTATAAAGTAACAAGTTTGCTATGGGTGTGGAGAACAAGGCTACAGGTGACTCAAAACTTACATGTAAAGACAGCCCTGGGTTATTTTGCTAACAAACAGCATTTACTACTTAAAATGCCAGCTGAGAGTTGTACAATAAAATGTTGTTTGATTCTTGTACCAAAAAGCTCCACCTCCTTTGCCACCGAGACAGTCCACACCAGCTCAACCCAAAATGCCAGTGGAGTCAAAGACACCAAGAAATCTAGGACCTGCTAGCCCAGATGAGGGTGGGGCATTATCCTGTCCAAATTGTTACTGCTTGAATTCTGCTGGAGTAAAGACCTGTGTGTTCTGCAAGAAGCCACTCCCTTTAAAACCACCCAAGGAACCAGAAATTCCATTTGTGTCACCTCAACAACGGGAATTCGCAGAAACGAGAAATTTTCCTGCACCTGTTTGGGCATTATCACCGGATCAAGGTAGAGCTGTTGGCCAAGTGCAGCAGTCACAAGGAAGTGGGAATGTTGTGTCAGGAACAAAACCTACAACTTCTTCATCAAATGCAGGTCTGTATTTTAGTAGAAACAATCTCATTAAGTTGATCTCTTAAGGAAACAAAAGTTATTCTGCATTTACCATGACTAGAGCTTCTTATAAGACAACAGAACCTATGCCATGTCATTGCAGAATCATGTAGATGTTCATATTATCTTGAATACAGTAGATTATACTGTGTTACTAATAATTCTCAATAATGTATTGGACAAAAAATTATGTCATTGTCAGTCACCCTCTGGCCAGTCGTACACATGATAAGTTTTGCCTTACATATTTTTCAGTAAATTGTATGGCAATAAAAGGAATTGACAAATACTTGTGAAAAAGTAGTTTGTGGCATATCTAATGAGGCATTTCGTCTTGGACAGGAGACTCTTAGAGACTTTTCAGAATTGAACAACAAACATATTGAACATCGCATTCAAAGTCCTGTTCAAAAATTCAAGATGTTAGCAGTCTGGCCCTATATAGCAGAAGGATTTCCAACCATACATTCACAAGTTAATATATACTAACAATAAAATCCGAGCCTTGCCAGTACATTCCCTGCCCACTATCGCTCACTACATGGTCTTGTGTCTTTATTGTGTGCCATAACATTAAGGAATTGACAAATACTTGAGAAAAAATAGTTGTGGTAAGTCTATGGCATGTTATAAAATTGTCACTAAAAATTGTTTCGTCATTCACAGGTCAAGTTCTAGTAGACCCTGATAAGTGGCAGTGTGAACATTGCACTTTTATCAACTCAAGGGTACGGAAAATCTGTGAGGTGTGTTGCAAAACTAGCAATATTCCACCACCGCCCTCAAGAACAGCTGAACCTGCAAGATCCAACCCTGGTTCTCAGTCACCTACACGAAGGGAAAATCAGGTTTGACTTGAGCTTACTTCTTCCATGTTTTGCTTGGTCTACAGTCATATATGGTAGATCAAAGCTAAGCTGAGGTGCTAGGTCTGCATGGACTTAAGTATGTATTTTTTTTTGAAGTGGGTTTCATTTGGGTTAAACATTACTACATTTTAATGCCTTACTGGGAACAAAGAGGATGAGAGATGAAGTGATCACTCTATCTAGCTGTTACACACTTACCTTAAGATTAGTGATATTGAGAGGTTGGCTATTAAAATTAGGGAGGCGCGGTGGCCTCATGGTTAGTGTGCTCGTCTCCGGATCGAGTGGTCCGGGTTCGAGCCCAGGCAGGGGACATTGTGCTGTGTTCTTGGGCAAGACACTTTACTCTCACAGTGCCTCTCTCCACCCAGGTGTATAAATGGGTACTGGCGAACTTAATGCTGGNGGGGGGAGTAGAAATACTCCTAGTCGCTTCATGCTACAGAAACCGGGATAAGCTCCGGCCTGGTGGGCCACTTGGCTCATATGCAGACTTCACCTATTAAAATTAGCTTAAACAAAGAGTTGAACTTGAACACCACTCTAGCTAAGAATGGTCATTGTGCAGATTCTGAATACCCGTACATCTTGATCTCAAGTCCACCCCATGGCCATAAGATATCTTAAGATGAGAAAATATTTCTATTTGTTCATTCATTAAGACATAACGTTTTCTAAATTGTTTATTTTGTTCTGAAGGCTGAACAATTAACTCCACAAATTTGCACTAATATGGCCATGCAAATAAAGAGTCAGCAGACCTCTAGCGTAAGTGAACAAAGCAGAAAACCAGAGCCCACAAATCAGCAGGCTACACAAAAAGAGATGTCAACAAGACTGCAAGCAGAACAACGCTTAGGAAACACTTTCCCAGCAGGAGGTGACCTTCAGGCTAGAGTGCCATGGGATGGCTCAGGAAGAGCAGAGCCAACGGTTCCTGTTGGTCCACCGTTGGAAAGAACCTATCCAGGTGCAATCGGTCCTAGTCAGGGAGGGCTACTGAATCAATCTGGGATGGTTTCTCCGGGAGGTATGCCGCCACTGCCTACAAGAAATGCTTTTCTCAGAGATGGTGGACCATTTGGTCAATATGGATTTCCTCCACCTCCTCCTCATCATATGATGGATCCCATGGGTATGCCAGCACCTTTTTCAGAGGTACAAGAATTGTTGCCAGTCTTGGAATACATTTCTTGAAATTACTGGATTTCATTTCAATTAGTCTGTCATTAGGATAACCTCTTTTAATTAGCTTTTTGTGTAAGTGAACTAGGAAACCAGCATTATGTAGCTTCTCTGTCAACAGATAAATCAATGTACTAGAGTGGGAGATACATCTATCCCTGAAATTTTGCTCAGACTGAACACTATTTATTCTTGAATTGATCAGTGTGCTGCCTTCATAAAACAGAAAACTCCTGGAAGGGTCCCTTACTAGCCACTGTATAGCCTGAATGGGCATTCACCCCTTTTCATTGCCAGTTTCTGTTACACCGATCAATTTTATTTTACTAAAGAATACACATACTTACACACACTACAACACCTGCAAAATGTCAGTACAAAGATTTGTCATAAATTTTGTTGAAGAGTTCTCTTTGCATAGTCTGTATCTTTAAAAAACAAATACAGAGAAATCAGAGATTTGAGCTTATGTAATGTCCTTATTGGTGACACATGTTGTGTAACTGAGTGGTTTTTATTGTCATTTACCAGTCAGAAACACTTCTCACGGATATCTGAAGTGCACATCTGTTCATCAGGAGGGGAATCCTGGTCTCGAATCTTATTAATTCATGTGGGTGTTAAAAACTATTGCCTGAAGTATAGTCAGGCTAGGTAGGGTGAGGGTTCACGATCATCATCATGTTCTCATCTCTGTATAGAGATTAAGGTCCTTCAAACCAGACAGGTTGTAGTGGGACACTTTGTGACCATTACATCACACAGCGTTAAGTGTTGTAACTGGTCGAAACCAGTCAGAAAGAGCTCATGTTGTTTACTCCTTGCCTGCATGGAATAAAGTAAAGAGTATTGTGTTCCTTAGATGTGCCTTGAACTTTGTCCTGGCCTGTCTACAAGTTGTCATGGGAGAAGGGTTGGGGGTGTTAAGGTCAACCTAACACTCTAGGTGGAGAGTTTACTGATAGCATTATGGAAAGAGCAGTCTCACTGATCAATATAAATATTTGATGCTTCTCATACTAGATGAATCCAGCAGCATCATTTTCTTCACCTATTGGACATCATCTAACCTCTGGCTTAGCTCAGACACAGCCTCCTCCATCATGGACAGCAGCACCTCCAACAAATACTGCTGCTGTGCGAAGACATCAAGAGGAGATTTATATAGCTGGAGCACGCTATGTTGAATGGCTGAAAGTAAAGATATTTGATAGTAGATTAATAGCATGTTTTAAGGAACAGGTTTCAATTAGAAGTTGACCTCAGCTTTACTTAGTCTACTGATTATTTCCCCAATACTGTATATGTTATTTAACCTCTACTATCAGTTGAGTCTAGGAAACACTCTCCTCTTTCTTTCACTTGAGATTATTCTACATGTTTTCAGTTACTCTTCACCAAACTTGCCAAGTTTTGGTAGACATTTTGTGGAAACTTATTTAAGGTGACTCCTTAGTATTGCATTGCACATCCCTACTGTGCACGATTTTCGTGTCATTAGCGCAACTCACATGAGCACATGCGCATACAAAACGTAAGAGATTTCCCTCAAACTAAGCTCGATAGTGAAATAATGCCCCTTTTTTCTTAAATGAGCACGGTGACCCCTAATTTTTTTTTTCAAGTATTTGCTAAGAACAGTCGAATAAAGAATATATTTGAAGAAGAAAAAATGTTTGATAGTACAACATGAAAAAATAGTTCCATACTGTTCCCACAACCAGGCAATCAAAAACGGCTTAAATGAAGCAATACTGCTTATGTGAATAAAAGAAGCTTTACTTTCAAGAAAAAATTTTGTGTCTTTCAAGTAACCAAGACTTAATTCTCTATGAAGGAACTCTGTATTCGAATTTTAACACGCAACCAGTAAAAATACCCCATTTTAAGAGCCTGCTGACGTGTAGACAGGCATGGTGACCCCATTTTTTTATTGCATTTTTTTAATGTTCATATCATGAATGTTAATCATGCCAAGTTTCAAAAAAAGTTTGATAGTAGAACAATTCCAAGAGAATTACCTCAATAAGTTGTGCTGACGAATCCTTTGCACTGACTGATACAATGGATAAAACACCATTACTACTTTTTGACAACTTCAGAGTATTTATTCACCCTTATTCAGTAGCCCATAATGAATCATAATTTACTGGTTATAATTTAAATGTTCAAAAAGTTATGTCTGCGGTTAGTCATGTTCCCAAAAGACCATCTGCAGTTTTAAAAAACTTGTTTTGCATTATCAAATATGTTTGGTGTGCACTAGCCAGCTGTGTCAATCACAGAGTTTCTGTCTTGACTAAAATTAAGGTGAAAAAATTCATACGATTTAGAACAACAGATAGTCATGTTCCCAAAAGACCATCTGCAGTTTTATAAAGTTTGTTTTGCATTAGCAAATATTTTTGGTGTGCACTAGCTGGCTGTGTCAATGACTAAAATTAAGGTGAAAAATTCGTAGGACTAAGAACATTGTTATTGTGCAGCATTTTTTGATATTGAATAACACAGGGATCATTACCTGAAGTCTAGGCTGTACCTGTGATATGCATTAGTTGCTTGCCCAATAATGCATGGACTAGTAGAGCTTAAGGTTACTGGATGTGACTTGATCTTAATCATATTATTGTATTGATGTATAATTATAAATATGATATAATTTACATATAATAATGATATAATTATTTGTAATAAATTATTATATCATAAGTATGGATAGGTATAATTCTGCATATATATATGGTATAATTATGAATATAATAATAAATACAGAATTTTTGTTCATCCTTGTCAGAAAGCAGAAAAGGAGGGTTTTACAGCAGAAGAGGTGAACATTGCAACAGTGCTTGGATGTGAAGATCATGAAGGGCCCATTCACTGGCTGCAGACTGCTTGGTATGATTTAATTCACAGAGTTATGATAGAGCTGAGCATACCAGAAAATTCACAAGAAATCGGAAACATCAGTCCAGAGGAAGTGAGAGAAGCCTTGATTGATTGCACAGGGGAAGTCTCTCGTGCAGTCAACAAATGTATGGAAAACCGCAAAAAGAAGGTAACAGTGCACTGCTTATTTTAAGGCAATTTATTGTTTTTATTGATGGTTAGTTTACCAGCCTGATTTGAATTCAGTAGACTGCATCTCTCATATTGTGTCCTTACATTAAACTCATCACCAATAGAAGAGCTTTGGAACTGGTGCCTAAAATGTTACAGTACGTTTACTGAAACCGAGGCCACCCAGACAATGAAAACCAATCAGAAAGCAGAACTGAAACAAAAGATTCCAACATTTTCAAATCCAGCCAATCAAATGTCTTGTACAAAACAATAAAATCTCAACTTGTTTGTTGTGATGTTTATGCAACTATGGTGTCACTTGTCAATTAATTGTGAAGTTCAAACTGTTAGTACTTTTGTGTGCTTGCAGGTTTAAAAAGAATTGAATTAAATGCTGTTCTTTCTATGGGGTAATTGGTTGGTTTAAAAAATACGTCAAAAAAAAAAGCTGCATAAGAGTGTCACATGAAAAAGATATCACCAGAGTGTGTGGTGTAGGGTTTGAATATTGTCGTGGCTGTTGAAAGGAAACTCACCTTCAAATGTTTTCTGATGTAGGGAAGCTTCTTATGGTGCTGTCTTTTTGAGTGACTTTACACACGTAGGCTTTAATGATACAACGCAAAAGTAATCTGTTTGAATTTTGATGAAGATGTTATTTCAATACATTGGTAACCCAGAAAGGGAGCTCAAACTCCAAAATGTATGTGTAGCTGCTGAGACAGTGAATGTGATAGTTTTTGAGAGAACTGCGTGGTGGATTTCACGGTCAGCTGCATTATAATTAATGACAACCAAAAGCTGTGTAAAAATAGAAACGTGCACAGACAACAGAAGTGGAATTTGTTTTGTAAGTCAAAATCTATTATTCTATGATTTTAAACAACAACCGTAAAGACATTTTATGTGGCCATATGTTTTATAGGTGAAAGAGTTACAACAGGCAGGGGTTTATGCTAAAACAGATTGCATAACTGCCCTGGATAATTCAGAAGGAGATACAGAGAAGGCAATTTTTGTACTTGAGAAAATGGCAATGCGGCCAATGCTTCAGAGAATACTGAACAGCTGTCTACCAGACAGTGCGACTCAGGACGAGGTCTTCATGGCTTTGACAAGGCAAACAAATACTCAAACTGATCAGGAGAAAGCCAACTTTGAAGCCATTGTAAAAGATGCACAACAAGACATGGATGTGAGTAAATTATGACTGCTACAAGCGAGTCAGTTTTATCCCCATCGAGGTTCCATTCCACAGTTGTTTGTGGCAGGAAATTCTAATTAAGCCTGTTTAGGTTTTGCAGACATTGTTGGTGTATGCAAATGTTGGGGAACTTGCAAACACAGAGTATCTTGCAAACCTGATGTTACCCAGTTGATATTTACATCTTGTCCTCTCATCTTAAGAACAAGAAACTGGCTGGTAAAGTTTGAGACATGACATGTTACAATTAAATTAAAAAAAAAAGAAATTGCAACATTTATATTATTTTTTGGTTACTATCCCCTAGTGGTAAAATGTCATGCCAACTTGAATATTGTGAAGTTCTAGAAAATATCCATACCCATCCCAAAGAAGGTTAACGGAAATTCCAAGGAAGAAGGGGTTTCAAAAGCAGAAGGGTCAGAACTCAAAGAACTTTTCTAATTGTGCAATCCTTTTAGTTTTGGCTTGATTTCAGGCTGTTACTGTTGTGTTCATACTTTACTTCACAATCTTATGGAAGTACTGAACTTCTTTCCTTAAGTGAAATTATGAAAATCATCAAAAAAATTATTGGCTGTAATATAAAAAATTAATGGCAAAGTCATTGAGATTGATCATTTTTGTGTTATGAATCATTATTATTATCCATTACGTTTCTTGTATTAAGCGACGTATTCGAGCAGTCTTAGCTGAGAAAGATGTGCCATCATGGGGAAGGGCAGAAGTTGTCATCAAGTTGATAGACAAGGGCTTTGGAGTGGACGATTCTGTAGAAGCAGCACGCAATTGTGGGGATCTTCAACGCTCTTTGCGCTATCTGAAACAAGAATGTCCATTATGCGCTGAGCAATATCCTATGAGCCAGGTTTGTGTTAGTCTCCTACACACATCTTCTTTGGCTCATTACTCAGTCTTTGCTCACTCAGCTTGTTTGTGCGATGGTTAAAAGGTCTTTAGAAAACAGAATGCTGATTGGTGTAAAACTGTGTTTATATTTAACAATGTGGTTATGAGCTTGAGATTTCTATCATGCATAGAAATCAAGAGCAAGTAATGTTACTGTTTTAGTATAAAATCTACAAGTCATCAAAACTTTATCTAAATCCTCTACATGGGCACTTTGAAAACGCCAAGCAATGGCCATCATTTTGTTAACAAGGGCACACTGCTACACTACTTACTATCTATCACAGAATAGATGGTAGCATAGCCAATCAGAGAATGGCATTCATGATAGAACACTAGTAGATTTATACTAAAGTTTGATAGCAACACAGTACATGTTTTCCATTTCTGAAAGATAATCCCTCTATGCTACCCTATAGGGCTTTCTCTTCTGATGTTTTATATTAGACAACACTGCCACTGCACAGCTGTCTTTTTGTTCCTTAAATAATTTATAATTTTTCAATGATAATTTTTTTGTTAAAAGTTCGTGAAATGGTCACTTTTGATATATTTTTATTGTATTCTCAAGTCCTATTCTTTTTCTCTATAGATGATCACATTCCTTCACTGCCAAGATCGTGTCTGTCAAAGTTGTGTCTCACAGTACATCACGATAACAATAAAAGACAAAAATATAATGAAACTTGTATGCCCAGTTTGTGGAAAACCCGAAAATTTGGATGATGAAGTTGTGGCCACAGAATATTTCAACAACTTTGATATTCTGGTATGTCAAGTTGTTAGTCTTTCAGCATCAAAATTCTCCAGTTATCCACTATTTTCTGTAACTCTCTTTGACAAAATTGTGGTTTTAAACCAAGATGTCCAATTTCTGGTTTAGTTTCTTAATTAAATTGAGAGGCCAGAGGGCAGAAGGAAAGTATCATACGGCAGGTCACAAAAAACAGTGGTAATTTTAGAAATAAACAAGGGAAATTAAGAAAATGTAGCCATAGGGATGTGTGTGAACATTTCACATTTTAAAGTGGCAAGATGAACCATTCTGGCCACTCAAGCAGGCAAGATTGCGTTATTTAGCCTACTTGATATTGCTTGCTATATATGTCAAAGGACCCACAAAGAAAATGGTATCTTTTATTCCACATATAAATATTGATTTATTGAGCTTGTTTGGCCAAAATGACTGGTTATTGGCCTTGATTTTTTTTACATGTTCATGGACCTCGATTCAGCCATTTTGATCGCACAAGCTTGGTCAGCTACTCATATTGAATGTCAAGTCTTTTGCTTCTTTTTTATATAATGAAGAAAATCTAACTATGATCTGTATTCAACACATCTAAAACAAAGTGACCTGGTGTTATATTTGTGTGCTCAGAGTCCCATATATAATACCTACAGGTACATTTTTTTGAATAAATGGTCATGAATAGTTTGCAATTTGTCGGTAGTGTAGGCTATTTCGTAACTTACTATGGTTGCTGTTTTCCCTTACACAGATTCGTGGTATAGTTGATAGGGAAACACATGACTTGTTTCAACGAAAGCTTCGTGATAGGACACTAATGAAGGAACCGAACTTCAGGTGGTGCTCACATGTAAGTTACCTCAACTTACCTGTTGTTATTACTTTTAATATTGAATTTGTTTATTTATTAGTTTGCTTGCCTAGAGCAGTTTTCATTTGAGTGTCGAAAAGTTATTAGTTTTGCACTTACTACGCTACACGATTGGTTTAAAAAACTCGTGCCACTTTTTCATAAATCAGAAGTAAAACCAAAACCAATTGTGAGTCGTTCGCACACGTTTTCCCGCACTTTGCGTCAGGTACATGTAATTACGCGGCGTTTTGATTGGCTCACTGTAATGTTAATGGCCTTTGTGATTGGCTAGAGTGATTACTTTGGTTTTGATGATACAACACTCAGTTAAAAACCGCTCTATTTACATTCATCTGACCAAATGCTGGCAGGTAACTGGCAGGTAACTGCGATCTAGATATAGAGTTATATGTCATCCAAAGGCTAGGGAATGGTAATTCTTTCCATTTCATGCTACAGAAATTAGGATGATATATACAGAGATAGTCAAATAACTGTGCTATTAAACTTCAAAACTGTTCCATAAGTTAAAGGGCACTATTGAGCATGTCACTGAGTATGACTTTGAAAAGTCTTCAATGTTGGAAACCCAGACATTTGGATCCAGTGTTATATAAGGGGTGTTATGATGAGTCATGCTTGCACAAGGTTGTGGAGAGTTGTGCATGGTCGCATTCCATTTTTGTTATATGTATCTCCTAAAAATCACTGAAAGCTAAATAAATACAAATTAATTGCTCTCCCTTCAACAATATACCTAATGTAATCTTGGTGCTCTAGGAGCATTTTGTGTTCAAGCAAAGGTACTAAGTTATATTTATAGCACTCTGTCAACCATGGCCATAACAGTGTCCCAAGTGGGATGGGAAGGGGGTTGCCTTAGGTCATTTAACCCCCTCCCCCTGACTTTCCATCACTGTTACTAGCAATTTGGTACTGTTACATAGATAAGAAATTGATTGCTGATCACATACTGTTTTTTTTTGTTTAGTGCTCGTCAGGGTTCATAAATGAACGTCCTGATCAAATAAAAATGATGTGTCTTCATTGTCAGCAGTTCACCTGTTTCAAATGCAAACGCCAGGTGATTATGGCTGTTTCTTACCATAAGTATAAATTTTATTATTACTTCACTTTTTATACATTACTTGTCATGAATAATTATTCTAATGACTGTTTAATTGCAATATTTGATTGCTTTCACTCAAGGTGTAAATAAGCCAACACACGATTGCATTGACAACTTTTTTTACTTACTTATTTTATCCTCTTTGCCCCCTGTGGAACATAAACAACACCAGTCTCCATCCATTTAGTCCTATCTTGCACAGCATGTTGTACTTCATCCAATGTGTATTTTACCTCACTGAGTTTGGTCATGTCAGTTCGATGACAGGTGGTTTTTGTCCAACTAGCTCCCTTTTGCTGGGTAGCATCCTATGCAAGGCAGTCTTAGGAATACGAGTCATATCCAAGGACTTGTTCTCTAACTGATTAAGTCATTTTTTTTTTAATGTGTACAGTGGGAGGACCAGCATGAAGGTATCACATGTGAACAGTTTGCAGCATGGAAGGAAGCAAATGATCCTGAATTTCAAGCAGCTGGTCTGGCAGCCCACTTGAGGATGAATGGAATTGGTAGAATATTTTTCATCTTGCATATTCAACAGTTGTTCAATTTTGATATGAAATGTTTAGGCTGGTTTTCATGCAAACACAGTGAGATGTTATTTACAAAATGTTAGCACCTTTTGTTAAACTATTTCCCTACATAGGGCAGTACTTCACTGCATGGTACAGCAACTGTTTATGACTTTCTTGTGCTTGTGCTTGCAATGCTCATGCCATAAAGAAAACAAGCATTCACAAAATCTGATTTTTAGGTCATGAAGCGAAGCTGAATGGGCTATTGACCCGTGGCCTTTGAGGGGGAAGGGTCTAATTGTTTTAGTATCACCCAACTAGTCAGACAGAAAAGGCAATAACAAAGTTAGCAAATGTAAGTTGAAGAAATATTTATTTGGGAATAAAACGAAAGAAAGCATTATGCTTGATTGTGCCAATTTCACTACTCAAGGACTCGAGGACTATTAGTAATAGTCCTCTAGTAGCGTAGCCAATTAAAATGCAGGATTTGCCTAAGTCTACTAGTTGGATGATACTAATTAACAATTAGACCCGTAGCCCACAAGGGCTGCGGGTCAATAGCCCATGAAGCGAAGCCGAATGGGCTATTGAACCGTGACCCTTGAGGGCTAAGGGTCTAATTGTTTTAGTATCACCCAACTAGTCGGACAGAAAAGGCAATAATAAAGTTAGCAAATGCTAGTTGAAGAAATATTTATTTGGGAATAAAACAAAAGAAAGCATTGCGCTTGATTGTGCCAATCTCGCTACTCGAGGACTATTTCTAGTAGCGTAGCCAATTAAAATGCAGGATTTGCATTAGTCCACTAGCTGGGTGATACTAATTCCATTTATTCCTATTTTTGCAAAGCATATTGGTTTTAACTAGTTTGAATTATTCCTTGTTTGCATTAGTACATTGAGCATCATTAAATGCACACCAAAACATTGCTAGTTGTTAAAATAATTGTTGCCCTATTAAGCTGTATGAGCACGAGAGTTATAATATTATAGTAAATGGTTTGAACCCAGGAGTATCAGTAGTTGGTATAGTGTGATCGTCCAGGTGAGGGTAGTACTGAAAAGAACTGTTGTTGGTGACTGATGTTTAGACAACCTGAGCAGAAGTCATCTTCAGAGTCAAGTGAATTGTGTTTGTCAGTCGATGATGTTATAAGTCTGGTCTATTGAACGTGATTGGTCAGTTTAGCCATGATGGTATTAGCTGAAAGACCCGTGTTAAGTTTGTCAACAGTCATTGGTTGGTTTTGATCCGTCAATTGTCAGTCAAATTGGTCGGTTTTTTGGTCCTTCTATTGTTAGTCAAATTAAGTGGGTCTGTTAGAAGTCCATTTGTCGGTTTCATTTCCGTCATCGATAAGTCGTTTGTAAAGCCCCCGTAGTTGTTGACATCTGTTAAGAGGTATTTGTTCTAGGTTAGTGTACTAGCCCTTCAAAGTCAGTCGTTGAAAATAGTTTGTACTCTATGTTAAGCACTGAGCAGAGTCCCAGTCAATGTTGTGGTTTGTCAGTTGATGATGTACAGCAATGTGATAACAAGAGTTATGATGCTCATTTTCTATCTGCATGGCTATGGTGTTGTTAATGTTTTCATTGCTTTTGAATTCTCTCCTTTTTTTAGAATGTCCAAACTGCAAGTATAGATATGACCTTTCCAAAGGAGGGTGTATGCACTTTAAGTGTGCCATGTGTCCACATGAATTCTGCAGTGGCTGCTACAACCCATTTGTTAACACTGACGCACAGGTACTGACATAGAACAGGTACTACATGCAGTGTTCCTGGGGGGTTTGTAAAGATATCCTCAACATTTAGCAAGATTTTACTCACTGACCATGGCAACTAAAATGCTGTAGTTCAAAGCAAAGGTTTGCAGGACAAGGACAAGTATCCTTGTGTGTCCTGATGTTGTAGTTACAAAGTGTAATGCGGGTAGATTAATTAAGTGCAAGGTGAACTCTGTTGAGGATATTTTGTTAATCTTTTCTATTCTCTACAGTCTCTATTCTTGCAGACTGGAAATTCACCTAGTAGAAAGTGGTTTTGAACACTGACTTCCTCTCACTTCCAAAAAAGTTTTGAAATATGTACAAAATTAGTTTGAATGCTAGTTCTCGGTAAACTGAATGCAAATTTGCTACATGTCATCTATCAAGTGGAATCTGTTTGCAAATCTAAATATTTTATCTTTTCAGAACTGTCGGGTTTCAGAACAATGTACTGTGCGAGGATTACATGCTCACCATCCACGTGACTGTTACTTCTACTTGCGTGACCAAGACCCAGAAAATCTTCAGAAGCTGTTGCGTGACAATGATGTTGCATACAATACTGAACCACCTGAGGCCCAAGGTAAGCTTTGCCTTGATATTTCAATTTAATTCACGGCATGAGATAGAACACACTGGAGGATGTTTTACAGTTTCACTACACTTGTCTACGACTATACTGGATGCCATATAAGTAGATGGAAATTAAAATAACTTTATATTAACTAACAATGCAATGATTCAATATTAATTTCTTTATAAGTAACACAAAACTCCTAATCTAAGTTTTGCTATTAAGCTCTTAATTGTACTTTGCAAAAAAAAAAAACTGAAATTGAAGTCATCTTACACAAAGAGGAATTCAAGACTTAGATCATGGTCATAAAAGTTATTGTAGTCACACTGTTCATATGGTGTGAGTGCTAAATTAAAGAGTTACTTTTGCTGCCTGTATGTACAAATATGTACATGTAGCCTGGGCTGATCTTAATTGACTTTGTGTGAATTTCTTATTTAGCAGCTGGAGGTAATGCCTCAGATGATGAGGAGCCAGCAGGAGCAGCTGCTGCTGCAGCACCTTTACACTGCAAAGTGAATGAACAAAAAGAAACTGTGGATGGTCTGGTTGATGCAGAGTGTGGAAATGAAGTACAGGCTGGAAATGCTGGTCTTTGCAGGTTAGCCATAAGAGTTGTGCGGCACTTAATTGTTACTGTCATTTAAACTGGTCATTATTTTTATAGGAAGTTACTTAACAAGTAGTCTGTGCTCTCTGCAACTGTTTAATATCTCCTAAGATTGTTCTGCAATTTCCTGAGCTCATCAAGGACGATGAGACTATACAGTCTTGGGGATAAATAGCTTTTGATGGGGAAATCCTATTGCCAAGAAGTGACTAACCATACTTGTTATCTCCCAAGTTGCTTAACAACATCATGTAGCATCACTGTGTGATACTGGACTGACTGTTCGCAGAATATTGTTAACTGTTCTGGTTTAGATTTGATTGGACAAGTCAAGGGTGTTCTTAAGTATTAAAATGCATCAGTGCTATTACAAATTTCCATGTTTCTTGATGTATTATTACTGTACAGATTATATAACATCACAGGCATATTGTATTTGGAATATGATATTAATGTTCTGTTGCAATTCTGAAGATCAGTTTATAGGGGAAGGAACTGATTACCCATATACAACACAAACATCTTCTTCACCAGTCTCCTTCCTGACCAGTTGACTATTATTAGTGTCATGTAGAGCCTCAGATAACTGGAAAATGTAAGAGATTCATAAGGTGGGGCTCGCTAGGCACCATAAAGAACTTTTGAAGTTTGGTTTCATTTGATTTCATGATTCATTTTCCAGGAAACATTATGTGGAGTACCTTGTGGTATTAGTTAATAATAACTTGCTGGACCCTGCTGATATCATGTCATCTGAGGACCTTGGTCATGTGCTGAGGCGAGGCTATGTTGAGCAGCCACCAAGGCCAAACAGAATGAGTGAAAATCAGTATCACGAGCTTCTGTTACGAGTGAGTAGCCCTCTGTGTAATACATCACTCAGAATGTAAGATACAGTGTTTTGTCAGTAGAGAGTTGAAAACAGTTATGTCATGCAGCAGAGTGCTTTCAACAAACCTCAGAGTGTTTGGAAATAATATGATGGGGCATCATCTGGAGTGTTTGTTGAATCCTCTTGGCAATCAAAAGCTAAAACTAAGAGAAAGTGGAGCAATAAAATTGTCAAAATCAATGTTATTGTTAATTTAATAAGGTTACAGATCCACACAAGCTTCATATAAGTTTTTGATTTCCTTCATTTTAACTTGATTAAAAAATTATTTATGGCCCTGAGCTGTTAACATCAAAGCCAAAGTTAATTATAGTCAGGAATGAGTCAACTTGAGAAAAACCTTTAAATGGTTAATCAGGCAAACATTTTTTTTTTATTTACTAGTGTTGTTTGCCAATTTGTGCAAAGATTTGGTCATTACTGAAACTGGATGTCTACTAATTATTTTCTACATAGTATTTGTTTAATTGATTTTGAAATAACTAAAGTTAAAATCAGTTGTTTGATTTGTTTTCTTTGTTTGGTAGACTGTGAAAGAGCAACTTCCATTGCCACCAAAACCTCCCAGGAAAAGAATACTAGATGACGAGGAGGAAGCACCGTTGAGACAAAATATTGAGGAGATTGAAGAAGAAGATGATGATGACGATGACAATGATGATGTATGGCAATTGAGACAAGATGACGGGCACATTTTCCTTGGTGATGCTGATGAAGAATTAGAACCAGGATCTATTGGATAACAAAACGTTCACAAGGAACCTTAAGCAATGTGAATATTGATGTCCTAGCCTTAGTGGAGAGCAACTGGGAGTATTACAGTCAATGTTCAACGTGCTACATGTACTTTAATCATGATGCCATGAAGCGTACAATTTAAACAACAGAGTGCGGTGAAAATGATGAAAGCGACGATGAAATAAATTTTGAGTTACAAACAGATGCAACAGAGGAAATAGAAATAACATGGCAAAGGTATCGATACTTACAAATGTTGTATGACTGGGACAGCTAGGAACACAATCAAAGGAAAGCAGTGAAGATGGTAAAACTACATGACTGTAAAGAACACTATGGAAATGCACAAATATACTAGAAAAACTTGTGCTAAAACGAAATTATGCGAAAAAACTTAACAGAATATTGATCACATGAAAGTGAGATAAACAAAAAGAATATGATGACAACAGAAAGAACATGTGTACAAATGGAAAAAATAACAAAAGAATTTAAAGTGGCCACAACATCAAGATAGCTTTCTTTTTTGGAGCTGCATTTTTTGGTGTCTTACTGTAGCTTGTCTCTATTTAGATCATTTTGTAGGGTGGAGCAGATATTACTCATTATTGTAACTATGTTTGTAACAATAGACATGATCAGATTTTTTTATGATTTTTAAATGAATGCAAATGAACGAGTAGACTATTAGTTAGCAACAGGCCCATTTGTCTAAGTTGTAGGTCAAATAGCAGACTAACTGGCAACTAACTTTTCACGCTGTTCGCTGAAATACTTCTACTGGCAACTAAATCTGAAAACTTAGGGGCCAGCTGGCACCAAGGTTTTTTTCCTGAAAGTCAAGAACAAGAGTTATGATGCTCATTTTCTATCTGCATGGCTATGGTGTTGTTAATGTTTTCATTGCTTTTGAATTCTCTCCTTTTTTTAGAATGTCCAAACTGCAAGTATAGATATGACCTTTCCAAAGGAGGGTGTATGCACTTTAAGTGTGCCATGTGTCCACATGAATTCTGCAGTGGCTGCTACAACCCATTTGTTAACACTGACGCACAGGTACTGACATAGAACAGGTACTACATGCAGTGTTCCTGGGGGGTTTGTAAAGATATCCTCAACATTTAGCAAGATTTTACTCACTGACCATGGCAACTAAAATGCTGTAGTTCAAAGCAAAGGTTTGCAGGACAAGGACAAGTATCCTTGTGTGTCCTGATGTTGTAGTTACAAAGTGTAATGCGGGTAGATTAATTAAGTGCAAGGTGAACTCTGTTGAGGATATTTTGTTAATCTTTTCTATTCTCTACAGTCTCTATTCTTGCAGACTGGAAATTCACCTAGTAGAAAGTGGTTTTGAACACTGACTTCCTCTCACTTCCAAAAAAGTTTTGAAATATGTACAAAATTAGTTTGAATGCTAGTTCTCGGTAAACTGAATGCAAATTTGCTACATGTCATCTATCAAGTGGAATCTGTTTGCAAATCTAAATATTTTATCTTTTCAGAACTGTCGGGTTTCAGAACAATGTACTGTGCGAGGATTACATGCTCACCATCCACGTGACTGTTACTTCTACTTGCGTGACCAAGACCCAGAAAATCTTCAGAAGCTGTTGCGTGACAATGATGTTGCATACAATACTGAACCACCTGAGGCCCAAGGTAAGCTTTGCCTTGATATTTCAATTTAATTCACGGCATGAGATAGAACACACTGGAGGATGTTTTACAGTTTCACTACACTTGTCTACGACTATACTGGATGCCATATAAGTAGATGGAAATTAAAATAACTTTATATTAACTAACAATGCAATGATTCAATATTAATTTCTTTATAAGTAACACAAAACTCCTAATCTAAGTTTTGCTATTAAGCTCTTAATTGTACTTTGCAAAAAAAAAAAACTGAAATTGAAGTCATCTTACACAAAGAGGAATTCAAGACTTAGATCATGGTCATAAAAGTTATTGTAGTCACACTGTTCATATGGTGTGAGTGCTAAATTAAAGAGTTACTTTTGCTGCCTGTATGTACAAATATGTACATGTAGCCTGGGCTGATCTTAATTGACTTTGTGTGAATTTCTTATTTAGCAGCTGGAGGTAATGCCTCAGATGATGAGGAGCCAGCAGGAGCAGCTGCTGCTGCAGCACCTTTACACTGCAAAGTGAATGAACAAAAAGAAACTGTGGATGGTCTGGTTGATGCAGAGTGTGGAAATGAAGTACAGGCTGGAAATGCTGGTCTTTGCAGGTTAGCCATAAGAGTTGTGCGGCACTTAATTGTTACTGTCATTTAAACTGGTCATTATTTTTATAGGAAGTTACTTAACAAGTAGTCTGTGCTCTCTGCAACTGTTTAATATCTCCTAAGATTGTTCTGCAATTTCCTGAGCTCATCAAGGACGATGAGACTATACAGTCTTGGGGATAAATAGCTTTTGATGGGGAAATCCTATTGCCAAGAAGTGACTAACCATACTTGTTATCTCCCAAGTTGCTTAACAACATCATGTAGCATCACTGTGTGATACTGGACTGACTGTTCGCAGAATATTGTTAACTGTTCTGGTTTAGATTTGATTGGACAAGTCAAGGGTGTTCTTAAGTATTAAAATGCATCAGTGCTATTACAAATTTCCATGTTTCTTGATGTATTATTACTGTACAGATTATATAACATCACAGGCATATTGTATTTGGAATATGATATTAATGTTCTGTTGCAATTCTGAAGATCAGTTTATAGGGGAAGGAACTGATTACCCATATACAACACAAACATCTTCTTCACCAGTCTCCTTCCTGACCAGTTGACTATTATTAGTGTCATGTAGAGCCTCAGATAACTGGAAAATGTAAGAGATTCATAAGGTGGGGCTCGCTAGGCACCATAAAGAACTTTTGAAGTTTGGTTTCATTTGATTTCATGATTCATTTTCCAGGAAACATTATGTGGAGTACCTTGTGGTATTAGTTAATAATAACTTGCTGGACCCTGCTGATATCATGTCATCTGAGGACCTTGGTCATGTGCTGAGGCGAGGCTATGTTGAGCAGCCACCAAGGCCAAACAGAATGAGTGAAAATCAGTATCACGAGCTTCTGTTACGAGTGAGTAGCCCTCTGTGTAATACATCACTCAGAATGTAAGATACAGTGTTTTGTCAGTAGAGAGTTGAAAACAGTTATGTCATGCAGCAGAGTGCTTTCAACAAACCTCAGAGTGTTTGGAAATAATATGATGGGGCATCATCTGGAGTGTTTGTTGAATCCTCTTGGCAATCAAAAGCTAAAACTAAGAGAAAGTGGAGCAATAAAATTGTCAAAATCAATGTTATTGTTAATTTAATAAGGTTACAGATCCACACAAGCTTCATATAAGTTTTTGATTTCCTTCATTTTAACTTGATTAAAAAATTATTTATGGCCCTGAGCTGTTAACATCAAAGCCAAAGTTAATTATAGTCAGGAATGAGTCAACTTGAGAAAAACCTTTAAATGGTTAATCAGGCAAACATTTTTTTTTTATTTACTAGTGTTGTTTGCCAATTTGTGCAAAGATTTGGTCATTACTGAAACTGGATGTCTACTAATTATTTTCTACATAGTATTTGTTTAATTGATTTTGAAATAACTAAAGTTAAAATCAGTTGTTTGATTTGTTTTCTTTGTTTGGTAGACTGTGAAAGAGCAACTTCCATTGCCACCAAAACCTCCCAGGAAAAGAATACTAGATGACGAGGAGGAAGCACCGTTGAGACAAAATATTGAGGAGATTGAAGAAGAAGATGATGATGACGATGACAATGATGATGTATGGCAATTGAGACAAGATGACGGGCACATTTTCCTTGGTGATGCTGATGAAGAATTAGAACCAGGATCTATTGGATAACAAAACGTTCACAAGGAACCTTAAGCAATGTGAATATTGATGTCCTAGCCTTAGTGGAGAGCAACTGGGAGTATTACAGTCAATGTTCAACGTGCTACATGTACTTTAATCATGATGCCATGAAGCGTACAATTTAAACAACAGAGTGCGGTGAAAATGATGAAAGCGACGATGAAATAAATTTTGAGTTACAAACAGATGCAACAGAGGAAATAGAAATAACATGGCAAAGGTATCGATACTTACAAATGTTGTATGACTGGGACAGCTAGGAACACAATCAAAGGAAAGCAGTGAAGATGGTAAAACTACATGACTGTAAAGAACACTATGGAAATGCACAAATATACTAGAAAAACTTGTGCTAAAACGAAATTATGCGAAAAAACTTAACAGAATATTGATCACATGAAAGTGAGATAAACAAAAGAATATGATGACAACAGAAAGAACGCGCGTACAAATGGAAAAAATAACAAAAGAATTGAATGTGGCAACAACATCAAGATAGCTTTCTTTTTTGGAGCTGCATTTTTTGGTGTCTTACTGTAGCTTGTCTCTATTTAGCTGATTTTGTAGGGTGGAGCAGACATTACTCATTATTGTAACTATGTTTGTAACAATAGACATGATCAGATTTTTTGATGATTTTTAAATGAATGCAAATGAGCGAGTAGACTATTAGTTAGCAACAGGCCCATTTGTCTAAGTTGCAGGTCAAATAGCAGACTAACTGGCAACTAACTTTTCACACTGTTCACTGAAATACTTTTACTGGCGACTAAATCTGAAAACTTAGGGGCCAGCTGGCACCAAGGTTTTTTTCCTGAAAGTCAAGCTCTGAAAGGTCTCTGTCCATTCCTTAAGGGGCCATTAACTGATCTTTTCAAGCCATTGCTAAGGAAAATTTATTCTGATATAACCCTATCATTTTTAGTTAGTTCAGAGTTATTTCATGTGTTTTAACTTTTTCATGACCAGTAACACCAGTGAGGACATTATCGGGCCACACCCTGGGTCATGTGACTAATACTGAAAAAATGCAAAGGCTGCCAGGCAAATTACTTAATTGGGATTTTTTTCATTGATTTAATATTTTAATTTTAATCCTCATTATGCTTTGCATAGATTTTGTTTTATTTCTAACAGGTCAGATTTTGAGACAATTCCAAGATATTGAAAAGTTCGTAATTTTCTGAAAAACGCATGATTTTGAAAAAGGAATGCATAGCTATGTTTCCAACGTTGACTTCAATCGAAACTCGTTGAAAAAGGCTCGATTGAATGAAAAACCACGTTTCCTTTAGCATTTAAAGAAATGGGAAGTGCGCCCGATATAAATTGGAAGTTACCCTATCAGCACAAGGGCAATTTACACTACCAGCGTATTTCGGTATGATCAAACAAAGCCATGCAGAGTTAGTTTTTCTCTTTCTTTTGCCCTTGTTTTTCTGTTTTTCTCTCATTTTGTCTTTGCTTTACTTTTTTTATTTTGCATATTGTGGAACACAAAGAAAAAACATCTAAAATGTAGGCAAATTTGCAAGTTATTTTTTTTTATTTTCCGCACGCAAGTAACCAGAAGTGAAATTTCACCTCCTTAGCAACACGCGTGCTCACGTGCATGAATTGGTTAATGGGCCCTCAAGGGCTAGTTTTCACTAGTGCATAAGCATACACAACATACACATATGCAACAAGGTGCCGTCAAGTAACACCTTTTGTTAATACATTTTCCTACTATCAGCATCTTACTGCATCTGTTTGCTGCTCATGCTTATGCTCGTGCTTAT